CCCCCCCCCCCCCCCCCCCCAAAAAAAAACTTGCAAACTTCTGAATGGTATGTATTGCCGTTTTTACAAAAATATTAATAAGCACAACTGTTTTCAATAATGAGAATGCAAATAATAAGAAATGTTGAAAAATGCTGGAATGTCTGCTGAAAATTCAGCTTTCCCATCACAGGAATAAATTACATTTTATGATATATTAAAATAGAAAACAGAAATATTCATTTGTAATATTATTTCACAATATTACTGTTTTTATTCTCTATTCTCTATATATATATTACTCTATTTTTTGATCAAATAAATGCAGCCTTGGTGAGACTTATTTCAAACGTTTGACCGGTAATGTTAATTTGTATTTAATCGTCAAACTAAATTCTTCTATTATTTCCTTGTGTTGATTTTATTAGCAAGCATTTGCTCTTTAGGCCTCTGAAATGCTGATCCAGACACAGCTCCTGTTTTCCTGCTACATTATCGGGAAAATGATTAGCAGATTTATGACAGCCGTGTGCAGCTCGTATCACAGTTGTAGTTCAGTTGAGTCTAGCAGAAAGTAGGTGTGCAGTCATAATCATTAACTGACTGTCAAGCTTCCTTTATTCAGCAAAGGCCAATCGCTTTGCACGAGAACATTTCATAATTGTTCGTTCTGTTTGTCTGGGTGGGAAAGGGTTGGTTCTGACTTGAACTCTGCTAACTCTAGGTTTGAGAGTCTCAAGTTATCTGCCAGACCTCTCATCCAGAAGATAAAAAATGAGCGTTTCCTTTTTTAGTGGATCACTGCCATTGGCTGCCTCAACACAATAACAATGAGGCCCACTGCAGCTTGCATGTAATGAAAGGCTAGGCATGCATTATCCACGCAGCTTGTGTTTTTTAGTAAACACAGTGGATTATTTCCACTCATTCATTAGCAAGGTAAACAATCATCTCATGGAGGGTTTGATACTGTTGAATCGGAACATCTGTGCCGCCAGTGCGGCTCTAGCGCTCCGGGACAGGTGGCGGCACGTCGGGCGAAGGGCAGGACCGAGGAGCGACTGCAGAGAG